CGGAAGGAAGGTTGGGCAATACTACTTCCGTAGTGATACTGCTTCGGAAACCCAAGGAGGGGTCGCTATGAGTCGGGGCCGACTCGACGGCATATAACAACAACAACATGTGACAGTGAAGGACATCATGCTTGGTAAAGTGGAGTGAAAAAGGGGCCGAGATGGACTGACACAGTGACTGCAGTGAAAGGACTGGGAGGGTGGTGCGGGACCAGGCAGTTTCCTTCTGTTGTGAGTCAGGGAGCTCTGGTGGCATAGTGCCTAAGGCACTTGACTGCTAACCAGAAGGCTGGCGGTTCAAACGCACCAGCCGCTCCTCAGAAGGAAGGTTGGCCAATCTCCTTCCATAGTGATACCGCCTCAGAAACCCAAGGAGGGGTCGCTGTGAGTTGGGTCCCACTCGACAGCAGTGAGTTTGGTTTGGTTTGGTACGAGTCAGAACTGAGCAGCACCTAAGAACAACATGACAGTGATGAGGAAGACGAAGATGAAGATGGTGAGGTGATGAACACCCCTTGCCTGGTGCTCCTGTCCCTTTCCCGTTAGTTTCCTGCACAGAGTGCAGTTAGTGTGGCGGTGGCCCCTCTTTTCCTCGGCTCTGTGACTGCCCTGGCTTCCTGTGGCATCGGAAGCCCAGATGTGTATGAACAACTGACCACGTGTCCCTCTTGCCCACCGCACACCACACACACCTGTATTCCCAACCCCTCTCCCACTCACGTCTTCCCACCTCCGTCCTGGGTGGGTCCCACTGTCCGGGACGGCTTCGGCCCTCAGCTATGCAGACGCACTTTGAACTGTGACCTATGGCCTTGTCTGGAGGAAGACCCTGTTTTCTCATGGAAACTATGAATTCTTTGAGAGCACCTCTCACACCATCTCCAGGGGTGGCTCACCTCCGGGCAGATCCTCCTTCTGGTTGTCGCCTGACTGGTCATTGGCCAAGGGGCGGTGATGTCATCTGACCCTTGAACAGCCCAGCCAACCAGCTTCTCTTAGGCAGGTGTTTTCTAGATGGTTCTGCCTGAGACCCCGCAGTCAGGGAAGTGTGTCGCTCAGCTTGCCCCTCCTGCTGCACCCCCGGAAACAGAACTGTAAACAGTGAGCGGCTCTGAGCGGGTGGACTGGCGGGAGAGGAGAACATGCCCATAAATAACCCCGAAACCACAGTAGCTCGCAGTGGGAACTATAGGCCACAAGGAGCTTTAATGGCGATGGTAGCGTTTTCCCTTCCCCGACTACCTTGGTCTGCTTGGTTGGTGTTTTTGTGACTGTGAGTCTAACTTCTGGGACTTGAAGCCAGTGCAGTCACCACAGAGTGAAGCTGAGTATCTTGGATGCTGGCCTTTGACAGCGCCCACAGCTGCCCTGGCCCGGGGCCTGGGCTGGGCGCCCGTCTGTCCCTTTGTTCACTCATCCACTTGGGCCAGGGCCCGGGGATGTGGACACCGGGCCCCGCCCTCAGAGTCTGGTGGAGGGCAGGCACATAATAATCAAGGGCTGGGCCCGGGATGGTGGTGAGCGCTGCGGGGCGGGAGGCACTGCGGAGCGGTGGCCCACAGGACAACCTGACCGCCTCTCCACTCCTTCTCTTCTTTGCCAGGTACTAGAAGCTAATGGGATGCCAATGGATGATGACCAGTTCACTCTGCTGACCACAAAGATAGGATTTAGAGAGGAAGGGATGAGTTACCTTGATTTTGCTGCAGGATTCAAAGGTAGTGAACCACCGAGGGCAGCCCTGCCCGGGGTACATCGGGACGG